CACACACACTCACTAAAAACATAAACTATTTCCATTCACCCAGTATCATGGCCAACGATAGCACATGTTATAAAATTCCCCAACGAAGAAAGACAGATTCTAACTCCTTCAACTCTACTTAATACTTATTGACGCGCATAAAAACAGCTTCACATGTAATACGATGATTCCACTCCCAATACCTAAAGTAATTGCTTTTACCAACAATACCCTAATTCCACTGCAACTCATACAAAACATTGTGCAATTTAAACAACCCATATATTATGCATACCGAAACGACAAATACATGTGTACCGGTGACATGTGCTATAGAATAACGGGTAGAACGAATGAACCGTTGTAATATAAGGAGACTATATCGATTTTCAGTTAGTATCACCTTACCTGGACCACAAATACAATACTAGTCCTTCTGGCCAGACAACCATTGTGTTTCCAAGGTTGGCCAATGGCTATTGTGGTTTGGCTAACGGCTAACTAGGCGAACCAGACCCATTTGCATGGGTTATGTGTCACTGCATCATGTGTATCGTAGTATTTCTTTCGCGTATGTATTCACTCATTGACTTTAATTGAAACGAGATATGTCCAAATGACCAACTAGAGAGACGAATTACTAAAATACCTGGTGAAGCTAAAAACATTAAGCGTATAAAAAAAACTAAATCAGAGGCAAAGTATCCCGGACTATATTTATACAGCATAATTCAAGTGGCATTCTTACTGAGAAAAGTGTAGGAAAAGTTGACATAAGATGTAAAACAGGAAAATAATAATTATACTGTATAATAATTTTGCTACAATAGACACTTCGGCATTCAGACATCTGCCAGTAGAATGATTCATGATTCATGATTCTATGACACGCATGATAAAGTCACCTATATCCTCATACAGCTACCTAGATTCATCGTCAACCCCCGTTCATTCTACCATCCTATGAGAAACAAAAGATTATACTACATTCCATTCAAACTGCAAATACCAATATCAAAATTCACAAATAAACAATTCTACACCAACCCCTTTATGTTGCTTTACCCTAGAGCACCAAGAGCCATAGCGTCACCTTATGTAACTATTTCAACCCGGTTTTTGACTTTGTAGTCTTGAAGCCATCCTAGTTGCGCAACTGACCATAAGGAAGTACAGCGAATACGTCGACCATTGCAACTAGATGTTTACAGCATTATTCACTGAGAACCGGTCCCGGCGATACGAGAAGATGTCCCGTAATAGAGGCATTTTATATTTCTTGTTTTACCAAAGTGCCATTTCCTCCTCTCTATCGTTTCAAATGTAATTAGGGTCTAAATAGCTGTTAACGTAATTTAGGTGGGCATATCACAGGCTTAGAGGATCTTACAATGGTAATGTGTTGCCGGGTGTTTAGTCTAGGGAGGTGTGACAACGATTTAAGATAAGAAGGTTGTTGACGTTTTTCAAGTGTTTTATAGTATTGAGTATCTTACAATACTAAGCTAACAATTAATTTCTTGTCTAGTGAGAGAGCGCGGGACTGCAATGCTTTAGGTCCTGGGTTAAAATACAGCCAATTGCTAATTGATTCTATCTAAGTGATAATGATGTAACCCCTAGGTCTAGCCTGAAGTACTGGTAAAAATGACCCCGGGTTAGAGCCTAGCATACTAGGGGGAATAGGTGGTTATAGCGCAGGACTGCTATCTTGAAGGCCCTGGGTTAAGTTTTCGCCAAACGCCAATGGTTTATACGTGTAATTGCCGTGATACAGATATTCTGAGACTTCCTTAAATGTTTTTATTTAGGAAACAACAGGAATTTGTTTCTCAAATGCGTATTTTTTCTGTTTTGGCGAATCCCATCCAATAAAAGGTATGCAAAATTAGGAATGCTACATTGATACACATTGATGATTCCAGTACTTAACCCGAATTTAATTGTATACTAGCGGTCATCCTGAGGTCGAAAACTCGACCAAAAATATTTAATGCACAGGCTTCTCTATTTTCACCCCACGCTGTAAAACATTTGATTGCAATTTCTTCAATTTGTTTTGATTTTCTGTTTATATTTTGTTGTTATTTCGTCACCAGTATGGCAACCCATAAGGTCCATGTTAATTTTTTTTTTTCAATTTCAAATTCATTTTTGTGCTTATTCTTGAGCCTATCTGAATTTATAAAGGGATTCTGCACATCTACAGGAAAATATCTTTCTAACAGTATGCGTAGATTTTCCCTGATATGCACACGAGCTGAGAAAAAAGGTTTTAAAGAAACATGCTAGCCTATTAATATATAGCTATTTTTGTATAATTTTCCTGGTTTTATAAATCTTGATTTCAAAACGTTTCCTTAAAAAAAGGTCCACATTTGCACCTTGTGGTAAACCATAAGTATACCCAAGCAATCCTGGAGAATTATACCCATTCATAACAATAACACACATTCTACAGCATACATAATGTAAAAACTACAGTTGTGAATCCACTATGACTCATGATTCACACTGAATGACTAACTTATCCTCAGGCATTCGATCACTACTGTTATCACCTGGCACCACATTATACAAATTCTTATCCAAATGCCTGTGATAAAAAGACAAACTGAAGATGTGGGTAGGCGGTGGGGCGGTGGCGGTGCTCGCCTAGGGCGTCCGCCCAGCGCCCACGGGCTCCGTCGACGACCCAGATACAGGAACATCTGATGGTCCAGGTTCAACCGAGAAAGTGGTTTAACTCGCAACCCATCATCATATGGCTATTGCGCAACCTAAGGTAATTTGGCCAGACGGGGAATCGGGCAGCGAATTGATCTGGACACACACACGCACACACGAGGTTAACTGCCCATCCGACTTCGACCACTCGCCCCACTCGATCTCGGATCGTTTATGGCGGTTTTATTTCGCTTTAACGACTTGATGTAGGAAGTAATGAAAAACGCATATCCGGCGACCCTACAGCCCGTAATTAAAGGGTTTATGGAATAAATTATCCATTGTTATCTCCTCTTAAAACAGAAGTTTTAAAACGTAAATATTTGCTTTTACAACGAAAGTTTCCCGTCTTAACGATGCTTTCCGTCGTGTTTTAATAACGGAGATTTTAAAGCGTGTCAACTCTTGTTATTTGCCATCTTTTTATTGAACATATCTTCATTCCACTTTACAGATGTAATTACTGAAACATCCTCAATTTTGATTAAGTATATTATATTATAGTCGAATCAGGTAGATTTGTCCGTGTAGATAGCGTATATATTTTGAGGAGACATGTTAAATAAGGATTATAAGAAATTTAAAACCATAGGTAATTCTATAAGTGAACTAATTAGGATGTCAAAAGAGAAAACTAATCTAGTGCATTGTACAGGTAAACATATATATCTTGTTAAAGTATTTTAAGTGGAAAAGATTTTCAATTTCAAGATTGCTTTACAAAATACCATAAACAACGATAGTAATGTTTTCAAAGCCCACCAACTTCTCATTTACAAAAAGCAATTGATTGAAAGTGTCTAGTTAAAATGAGTCAGCTGAAAAGTGGGGAAATACAGAATAAACAAAAAAAAATTGGAAACATCCTTTTAAAACAGATAATGTAAATGAATCCTTAAATAAAAGAACTACCCCAGACGAAATAGCGAGGCTAGGTTTTCCTACTAATATGTACAGACTCAACGATTTGTACTTATGAAGTGATTCAGTATTATTTCAATTTTCAAAACAATCATCAAATAGTTCCAAAAGCTCGACGGAAGACTGAGAACCATGACTTGTAGTATTTCAACGTCGGCACTTGGCAGGACCTTGATGTGGGAATTATAGGACTGGGACCGCTGAAGAGCAAGGTCCTAACTACTACCAAGGTCCTACCTACAGAACTGGCGACATAAACCATTTGCCACGCGTTCCCTTGTATGGACAATTCTTACCACCAGTCTCCAACTTCACATGAAATATGTTTAATAATATCAACCAGCTAAATAAAAAACGTCTCCACAACTATTCGAACGAAGGATCAAAATATTGTTGTAAAAAAACTGTTCCATATTCTGGGCTGATTCCTGAAATTATCAATTGTGAGGTTCTCGCAGATATGACTAGACTAATGGTTTACAGAAAGGGGAATAGGTGGCAAATAGGCAGTTCTTTGGTCAGCCACCTCCAGAGGGTAGTAAGGTCCTGTAATTTTTTGATGACAGAACAGTGGAATTTTTTCCTAGCCACAACACAATATCTAATAATGAGGATAAGATATACTACCAAACTATGCCTCTAGTAACTAATAATTATTTTCTATATGGTTCAAGTTCAAGGAGTAGGAATCATACCAAAAGCATATTAAGCGAATAAACTTTTACTTAACACGATGACTTTGTTCTGGACTTAATCAGGGGTTTCCACACCAACCATAAACAAAAATAAACAAAAAACGCGTTTTGTTAAATTAATGCATTTTCGAAAATTATAACATACTAAAACAAGCATAAAACATATGGAAAAAGTTGAAAAATTAATACATACTTTCGGTAGTAATGTCAGAAAAGTATGTATGCGAAATAAGCCTCAAGGATCTTAGTGGGCTCAACTTATTTAAAAACATTTGTTTATTTAAGAGTCAGACTGATTTGAAAGAAAAAATTACTTTATATGACTGTTGAATAAATATAATCGGTATTCTGACCTTTGTATGGGCAACACCTTTTAAATGCAAGCAAAAAAATGTATTTCAATTTGTGTAAAATAGTACAGGATGGTGAATCAAGAAGACAATTAACAGAGAGTTTATGAGAAATAGTACGTAAAATCGCATGAACGAATGCATTTTTTTTTAATTAATTCCTTCTCCCCACCTATTATACAATTGCTACGGTACCACTTTCAAACATTTCAGTATACAAATCCGCAAGGACGCTCGCCCCCTCTACTTTCCATGGAAGGGGCTTCGACTCTATAAACCTCTACAAGTAATACTAGTGCTTTCTAATCATCCTTGGTGTGTGTTCCAGATGGGATTTTCAGTATGCAGCCTAGCCTTAGGGCTGCTGTGTTTACAAGCCGCTAGCGGTCAGCACGCCTTCTATCAGCTCCTGCAAAACTACTCAGGTATGTCTATCAGATAGGGTTTGGGCCGTTCCCGTCAAACACTTATGTATGGGAGTGTTAATAACAAAACTATGTAAAAGAATAAATAACTGCTAATTATGTGATATAATACTGATAGGTAAAATAGGTCCAATAATAAATAGCACAGCACAACATGTAAAGAAACGCAAAACAGACGCTGTATCATTATTGCATTATGGGACTTGAAGGCGTTTCCAACAAATCGTTCTGAGCAAAATCCCCACTTCTTTGACAAATTTATATTTGGGATGTAAATTAAGTTAGACTTCTTCGGTGAAGTTAATACTACTTTTAAAAGTGGATTCCAGTGAAAATATTTTTAAACTACCTATTTTAATTAATTAATGCAATTACTTTTTTTGACGAATACAAAACATAAATGTTAGTTTGTAATAATAAACTAAACACAAGGTGTGGTATAAAATATCAATTGTTACCTTCATCGTCGAAATAACATTGTGAAGTATACTAGGGACCTTAAAAAACTTTTTCTCTTCCAAAATGTATAGCTTAAAAAACAAATATTGGTTGGTAAATATTTGATGGTTTGAAAATGTATAATATTAAATATTTATTACCCAGTCAAAGCTCGTCAAAAGATTGTTCAGTACAATCCAACAAAACAAAAAGTTAATAGATGTTTTAAACAATCCAGTAACTAAATCTAATAAAGTCCTCTCTAATTTATTAATCCTCAACACTTTACGCACTCTACCTTAAGTACCTTCAAGACAAAGTAAAAAAACGCATAAAAAAACAAGCTTATAAAATGGCAACAAAGATTTGCTTTCTACAGTCATTAGTTTCTTTAGAGGCCCAAGAAGTCCTTAATCCTGTAGAGATATAATCGAGGAAGTGACCGAAGAGCGAGCTACAAAGGGTACCTTCACACACCAATGGGGCGTGGTTGGTCGATGATTCTTCACTCAGTCTAGAAGGTCAGCTTGACCTTAGTTGATGACCGCTTTATTTACTCAGTCCATCTCCTGAAGCCACTAGGTTCGTAACAACTTCATTGTCAAATGCAACCCATTCAGTTCCAACGCTGTATCAACCCATAGTTTTTTTTTTTTTTTTTTTTTTTTTTTTTTTTTTTTTTTTTTTTTGGGGGGGGGAGGGGGGCGTGTAAGGTTATTTTGACTGAATGAAACGAAGACAATTATTTCAGAAGCCATAGCAATTTCTTCTAAAAACCAATTTTATTTTTTTTATTCAACATAGATGTAAAATTTTGAAATCTAATTTAAACTTTTTTTATTGTGTATAGTTTAGCTATTTTCCAGAGTCCGGGACAATACACTATTCCGAGAACCATTTATTGGTCAATATATAGCATTACATGTGCATATGCGTAGCAAAATCGGTGGCGGTTTCAGAAAACCGGGACGTATAGCAACCTACTAAGGATTTTCGCGTTATTATAAAACAAACTGTGTTTTTAAAGTCCACAATTGTCAAGTATTGCTATTTAACTTTAGCTCGTGGACTTTTCCAACTACATATTATGAATGTAGATTAGTAGTAAGTCACTTGGAAACGGTATGAGTTTCCTTACCTTTGGAAACTAAGTGTAGTCAAAAAACAAAAAAGCGTATAACAATTTCATAAACTATAATGAAAATACCAAATTTATTTGAAAAAAATAATACAATTTAGACTCATTCCCAATCAATTTCTAGTTTGAGTTGACCTACGGTGAGCTGACGTTCATGAACAGAAACAACAGGATGTAAAACATATACTGTATATTTGTTTTAAAAGAGTAATTTCTGGATAAGGAAATGAACAACTCTACAGGTGATTAAAAACTAATCTCAACACCGATCTTCACTAAAATACGGTTCAAAATTAACAAAACATTTGATAGGTGTAAAATAATAGAATAACCTCCCCACCCTTTTTCACAGTCGTCTCTTAATAAGAAGAAATGCGTCTCAAAGCACTATTGCAAAATTCACACACTGCCCTATAAATTAGAAGAGATATCGAATAGTGTAAATCGAGAGGAATGCGGAAGACGTAACAAGAAAGTTGAAGAATAAAAATGTAAGTGATCGGCAATTGAATACCTGGGCCTCGGGAACGTCCTCTAACGTATGGGACAGGTTGTAAGGAATCCCGATGAAGAACTACTACCCTACATACTTGTCAGACTGCATCACTGCATCAGTTGTCAGTTCTAATTGTATTCTCGTTAAATAACTTGGGACTACTTTTTAATCATTAAACTGTTATGTAACATCGGATTAGTGTTGACTCGAAAGTATAACCGATTAATATATACAATATATGATTCAATAAGTAGGGCAAACGTTAGGAATTGTAAACACTATATGTAAAATAATGTGTTAGTAGAATTTACATCTTTGTTTACAATTATTTATTTATGTTTTTTATTCCAACCTTTACATCTTAGAACGCTAGGTTCAATCCCGTAACTGTTTCACAAGTTACTTCAGGTTATATTCTAGTGTGTTGACATATCAAGTGGATAAAACTAGTTTGTGATTGGCGGGATTTGAACCCGGGATCTCGGGCACCGAGGTCCCGAGTCACTATAATCCAGACCAAATCACTATAGCAGAACTCATACAACATAATATTGGAGTTTCGCTAAACAAGAGGCAATGACAAATAACTTGAAATTATTTTTTTTAATATTGCACTAATTGTTTTATAATTTTATGCAAATCTCCATTCTCGTTGTGTTTTTCTTTATGTTTCCTTAAACATTGTCAGAGTCATTCACTTTAACAACATTAGGTTTAACGAGTACTTAGGTTTGCTGCTACAGGGAAGGCATTTTTTGTTTGGGCCACGGTATAAAAATCGTACATTCAATTTCAGGTTGTCTGTTTTGACAAATTATCGCATACATTTGTTTTTATTGAGGTAGTTAATTCAATAATACTGTAACAATAGTAATATGCAAGCTAATCTAAACTGTATTAATTTTGCTTGCAAATATAGGCCTACCTTCCTGAAAATAAAATAGGTACAAGAATTGCGCCATGAGTAAAATTTTTACGCTGCTGTATTAGTATGTTTCATTTTATCAATAATTAATTGCTATATCTTAAAAGATTGCAGGAAATACCATCCTCAAAGTTATACTAGATCCAACTTTTACACTAACGATTAAAACCTAAACAATTATGTAGGTTAGGTGTATTACTTCATTATTCTTATGTTCCTTTGTTAGGAACTTTGCCATAACTATAATTTAAGATAACTACACCTATCAATGGTAAATTATATTGTATTTCTTACCTAAAATATGATGCATCCAAAAATATTCACTAGAAACAATTATTAACTAAGGTAAACAAATATTTCACCGTTAAACACTCGACGCGCATGCAGTGACTTGTGTCTGGACATGAGGGGGCGGGGAGGGGAACAGTATTGTTGAACAGCTGTTAGCTCGAGGCATCAAATGATTGCTGCTTCGGGCGAATGTCATACACGGAGTATTAAAGGTAGCGCTTGTAATACATTTAAAATTAATTACGTGTTACTATCAGCTGTTAAATACACAATTTTATTATTATAACTACGTTGTTTTATGTTTCTGGAGAATACGTTTTAAGTTATTTCACGTTAATAGTGTGTTTTGCTAACATATGGTTGGTGAACAGAAATAGTTTGCTGACGTCAAAAAGTGTGTAGTTAATTTTTGTTTGTTATGGTTTTATTTAGTCAAACTCGTTTATGTAATATAGGAACGTGTTTTTATTAGAAAAAATTAATTTATGTAAAATAATAATGAAACAATATGTTTATTAAACATTTTCAGGATTCAGACGTTTGAAAAAAAGTTAAAGTATTCTCTTTCACTTGGTATATTAAATATAACCTTAAATAGTTTGTATACATATGCTTCGTATTTTTTCAGTAAAATATAGTATATTTATGTATTTGGTATATTTAATTGCATAACCATCTTTCTACAATTAGGTAGGTTTTAATGGCAACACCTTTACTAACCAATATAAATGTGTAAATAAATGGGTGCTTTGAGTATTTTGTACTTAATTATTGTTGACATGAAATTATTTAGGGTTGAATTTAAGATTAGTACTATTTCACATAAAATCCATTTTTAATAGTATTACTAACTTCGCCAACAAAGTCTAACACAATTTACATTTTAAATAATAATCAGTCAAAGAATCGGGTTTTTTGCACAGAACGATTTGTTGGTAACGCCTTCAACTCCCATAATGCAATAATGATACAGCTGGTAAACAGGCAATGAAAACATCAGTAAGCTGTCTTTCTTGCAGAGGTTTATAGTACAAAACCTTGATTATACCTTGTAGCATTATGTTTTATGGGTAATAAATTAAGTACTGCACTGAAGTATAAACAAAACCTAAGCTACCGGTACTGTTAATGTCAATTTAGTTGGTCTTCATTAGCATGCTTAAAAGGAAATCATTTGACTATGTTTCTTTATAATTTAATATTTAGGAAATCAATTTTTTATATTTATTAGTAAATTATTGTTTTCAATAGTGATTTTAAACTATGTCTTAGCTAATTTACTAATGTGTATTTGTTTTGTTTTGTATCATGTTTTACGTAAATCAAATTTATAAATAGGATAATTAAATGTGATATTACCAATGATCGAGTTATAAAATATGTAGATTTACTAAAGGTAAATACCCTATGTAGATACAACATATCTACTTGTCTATTACATCCAATCTTATACTCTCTACTAAAAAAGTGGACATAATTGTATTTAGAGTGGTTATAAGTCCCCCTTTATGGCTATACAATTTATGTTTAAAGTAATTTTGAAATATGGGGCCTCATTTTATTGGTACGTACTCTAATTTGTGTAGTAATTTAAAATTTGATGGTTTGCCTGAAGTTTAACAAGTAGAATTCAACTTCAAAATTCCTTATGAGACTAGGCAGGTGCAATTGAAAAGCAAAATGGTTATATAGTTTTCGAAGTATCTCTTAGTAAGATGCATAGGTTAAACTTTTTAATGAGAAACAACTATTTAAGTTAAGGTATACATCAATGAAATTAATACCATAACTAAAATTAAATTTATAGTTGTAGACTAAATTTGAAGAGAAATTGATTATATACCCACCCTGTATAATGCCTTGAACACAACTATATGTTAATAGGTAACAAAGTACACTTTATGAATGCGTATATATATGCTATATGTCGAGTAAGGTACAAAAATATGAAACATTCGCTGGAAAGTTCAAGGCACCTCATTGTACTCCGGATTCAAAACAGATTTTCTCAGCAGCAGGTCTAATAGAGTAATTTTGTGCCATTCACACAAGATTACACGACTACATGTGCTGTTTGAATGAGATGTCCGTCGAATAATTACGTCAATTTTCACTCCAAAATTACGTGACCAGTCGAGCTATGAAGACGATGGTTCATATAGGCTACCCTTGGCATAGGTGTTTAGCCTATTTTTTGATAGTTCAAATAAGTAAGGCTTTGTCTCTGGTTTTCAATGTTGAGCTAGGAGGAGCATAAAAGTAATGTAGTCGAAATGTTTTCTTTCTCAACGCGTATCCCTTTAAATTTATTATTATTCAATGTTAATTCACTTTTAAAATTTGTACCAAGCCATAAAAATGAGTATACTACGTTGCCTAGTGGTTAAATAGAGGAACTTCCATCCTAAGGGTCCAGGGTTCAAATCCTATCAGACAATGACTTTTACCAACAGACTATAGGACCACTTGTAAAACCAATGTTTAAGGTCAGTTTGGTTACATTTTCAACGATAAAAATACTACTTACTTTTATCAGGATCGAACCTGAGAGCATTGTATTTGTTCCAGTACAGCTGCTTGAAACAAATTAAACTCAATATTTTTGTAAACTGGTAGATTTTGCATTTTGATTTTTAAGTTTACATTCTCGGTCCGTCACAGTATAAGGAAACCAAAACTGGAAGCTTGTATAGCTTTATTACCGACAAAGCAACTAAAAACTTCACTTTGTACACTTATTCAAGTCGTTAACTCTCCAAAGCCTTCCGGTATATCAGTTCTACTAGAATGGGGAAGGAAGGGTCGACTGCTAGACACTAATCACTAGTGTCCAGAGACAGTAATTATCTATACAATAGCCATAAATACTAGTTACGCAAACGGTTGCTAGGAAATGCGCATACGACGTCTAACAACTGACGCTGGATATACGGCTACTTGTCTTGGTAAACTTTCTTCCCGGACAAAATTAACTGCTCAAACAAATAGTTGCTTGATTGTTATGCAATGCCAAAATTGTAACTGTTTTTAATTCAGTATTTGAGTGTTAAAGGGCAAGTAGGCTCTTCGTCCTATGGTTAACTTCTACTGCAGCCTCTAAAGTTAATGGCTGCAAGGATTAACATTTTATTTTTGTATTATTTATTTATGTCGCCAAGGAAAGCTAACTTGATATTTTATTAGACGTTTTTCACTGTTATACTAAGTCCTAATCACTCATTTAACTGAAAATAATGCTTGGAAGAATAAGAAGCTGCTGTGTATTTAAAAACATTCCTGTTAAACCAGAAATCTTAAGTCTTACACTTATTGCTTTAAAAGAACTGTTTTAAGTTTATAATAATACATTAGATTACGTAAAAACAATGTGCAGGAATTAAATTACCCTAATTTCATTGTTGCTTAATCTCTTGTGTTAATCAACGAGCCAACAAGAACAATGAAAACAAATCATTCAACTTTCAATGCTCCCATGACGTCAGCGACAGATCTGAATATCCCCTACTGTGATTTCTATTCTTTGTGTACTGTGATTTGTTACACAACTTGTAAATAATCAGCTGTTCGGCAGACAGCTGAAAATACATAGCCTACAGGTAGAATAAACAAGTTATAACAAAAACAAATCAATATCAGCTAGACTTAAACTAACTAGGAATTGCGATTATGATATTATTTGTGAATCTTAAGTTGATACAGTATTGTTTAATGAGGAGGATTGTAAAAATACTTTAAAAAGTTCTAAATGTTGTAAATGTTCTAATTGTTAAGTGAAATTATGTCTGGAATTAATATGCACGTAGGTTAAGTTAATGGTTAAAGAATTTAAGGTTATGTTATAAGTGATTAGGCTGAAAATCGTATCTTATCTAATCTTTAAGTTACTTGATCACTTAATTACTTCCGATCTCTACTTTTACCGTTCTTTCTTAGTGGCATTTGGCTTCTGCCACAATTAATTTGACTTCAATTTATTGTTCTTCTGCTCAATGTAACTTACAAACCTCAGGTTCAAACTCGAAAATGGTTTTATCTTCCTTAAGCCCATCAACTATCTTCTAGGCCTACCTCTTGTAAGCCGAGTTCCTTCAATATCCGACTATAGCAACTCCTTTGTTTTCCCTGAGGCATCCTCTAAGCCAAACCAGTCAACGCTCTTCTTAGACCAATGAAGTTTGCACTCCAAAATCCTGCATAGGCCTAATTTGAAACCATCTTCATAGTACTGATTCAATCATATACTGTAGCTCAGTAAAAGAGAGCACGGCTAAGAGTCAAGTTTTAGACTATTTAGCATTGCAAAGTTTGGCAGAACCAAGCAAAGAATAGAATGTTAACTTACACAACTTGTGAATTCGTCTGATCACAGACAGGTTTGTGTCAAAGTCCATAGAAGGCTTCTATTTACTAAGTTTTGGCCTCCATGTAAAGTGCTACCTTCGGGATGACTTGACGATGATGTCATCAAGTAGCCTAATAATGATAGACTGTTTATTCCTTACAAGAAATTACACAATGATGGTTCGATGTTGCAGATTTCTATGGAGCTCGCCCACAATATGGACCTCCTCCACCACCGCTGCATCATCCTGCTCCGCTGCTGAATGTCGGCTCTGCAGGACCCGGCTATGGACTCCGACCTGCTCCCAACTCCAACTACCAGCTACCTCAGACTGACAATGCGTGAGTATAGACATAAGATATTGTTAAGCTCTGCATTTGAGGATTAATCGAGAGAGTTCTCTAATATCCACAGTCCTCCAACTGGGTCTTAACATTGATTGACTTGAGGATTCTGTTAGCTATTCCTCAATATGGACCAGCTGTAACCAATATTTATTACAAATGAACATGGTTGAATCAGCAACTCATAGAAAGTGACACAGTTCAAAAGTATACAGTAGTTCCTTAGTAATTTAATCCGTTTAGTTTTTTATACAATTATTGCTGATGGTGACATAAAAGCTGCTAGCTTACAATAAGTTTAACTTTCAGCTTGGCTTGGTTATAATACTTACTGTAGTGTATTTGACCGAAATCAGTAATTTACAGTGCACTCTGCCAGTAAACTAATTTTATTATAAAACTGGCTACAACGTCTAACATGAGAATGGAATTGGCTAGTTCCATTTATATATAAATTTCAATTCATACAGTAGATTTTGTTCAAGTATACAGTAACTAAGAAAGATAAATGTAAGCACCAGTATTAATAAAGTAGTCAAAACACACAAAAGGGAAATAAATTTGTAAAATAACTGCAGAACGTTGCTGTTTTACCTCATAAAAACAATTTATAACTGTAAAATGTTTAATGCATGCACTTCAATGTAAACTGATTCTTGATTTGTAATTTTATAACTGGCTGTACTCTTTTTCGGATGTTGTAAAAACATCCGTGTTGTAAAATCCATCAGAAATATTTTCCATCGGTCCAAAATCTGTATCCCTCCAATTTCCTGATCCTGTTGTGTATATTATTTATTATTATATCCGTACAACACCAAATCACTCACCATTTTATTCTGCAGGTTGTATGGTCTGGCACCTCATCCCTTGACCTGTGGACCAGAGTTCTCAGGGAGTTGCCCACACTCCAAGTACAGGACCATCGATGGATCATGTAACAACGCACACAACCCCACTTGGGGAATGCCTAACACCCACTACGGTCGTCTTGTACCTTCCAAGTACTCTGATGGTGAGCTAGCTTACATAGTGTAGAGGATTATCTTTGAAATCCTTAATAGTTTATTTATATTCTTACATCCTTCTCGGACTATTTTGTTGGGACGGTGGATCTAAGGAATGGGAAGGTGAGACAAGGAAAAGCGTATCTTACATCCAAGTTAGAGAAAATAACACTGCTTAACTTATTCAGTCAGCTGGTCTTTGGACTGTGTGACCCTTAAAACATCTTATAGGATGACTTTTGAAGAAACAAATTTTCTCAATGAAGGTTTGCCTTTCAACGCCACCTACATTAGTCCTACTTCAGGCGTTAAAACCTTTTTCCTTGGCAAGCTCTAGAAGAGGATGGACGATGTCCGCTAATATCTAAATGCATAAAAGCAGGACGGAGGTGGGAGGTATATTTTCTTAACAAATATATATATATATATATATAGTTAACTGTGGTAAAATAATCTAGCTTCGCTTAACAGCTTAAACACTCCCATTCCTGTGAATAATGGACTCACAAATAATGGGGGGAAATTGCTCATCTTTTCCTTTCTTATTTCAATCAAAATGTATTTAATATATCTTTAATAGGCCTATACTCTTGCCATTAGTAAGTGTGCAGTAGCAGTGACTATTTATACCATAGTCATTGGCAGTAGCAACAGAAGTAAACAAGGATGTTTTGCCACAGGTATCCACGCTCCCCCAGTATCTGTAAGCGGATCCAAGCTGCCTGGCTCTCGTCTGGTCAGCATCGTCTTGTTCCCTGATGTCCCCAAGAACGACCCTCTCTGGACTCTGTCCTCCATGACCTGGGGTCAGATCATGACTCACGATCTGTCAATGTCTATGGGAACCACCCAAGCTAGTAAGTAAACCTTTGTGACATATTTTCATCAGCTTATCTCTGGACTTTTAAAATGACTTTTTTCCAATTCCTTCAAAAGCAAACCCTGAAGGCATTTTTGGGGCTTGCAGGAGAACCTAGTCGTAGAGAGCAGGAATTCAGTCTACAGGATCCCGGGTTCAAAGCCTACCAATTACTAATAGATTCTATTTCAGTTAATGCCGCAACTCCTTCTTAGGACTAGCCTGAAGTAATGAGATGTAGGCTGTTCCATGCTAGAACCTACATTCTTCAATGTGAAGGTGATAAAAGTTTATTTTCATTTATATCAGAGTGTGGAAAAGTCCTGCTCTGGAGCCCTCTCTCTGGATCTTCCACTGCAAACTAATATTTTTATAAAAAAATGTTATAACTTTTTTTAAATACTGTATAGATATCCAAATCTATAAATTCTATACTAATCAATATTATGACACAGAGGCCCACTCCATCAAGTGCTGCAGCCCTGATGGCCAGATTAGAGTTCCTGAAGAGTACGCCAGCCCTCTCTGCTTCCCCATCCTCATACCCCAGGATGACCCTGTCTTCTCACGCTACCACCAGATGTGCATGAACTTCGTTCGTTCCACCACCTACTTGGACACTGGATGTGGTTCTCCTCATGAACCTGCTGAACAGGTATGCCAAGTGCTGAGAAATATTAGTTTTATTACTACCTATGTGGAAAAAATAATTCACTTGGCTGAAAAATAAATTTTACCTTAGCCTACGCTGAAGCAGTGGTCCGGTAGTATAGCGATGCAAGAGAACACAAGGCTCTATTAGAAGCCTAGACCAGAAAAGTCTAGTAAGAAGACTTCTTACGTAGTGCATTGAGAGTATGGGATAATTTTCTCAGAGTGAGTATTTTCATACTCTTTTTGACCTCTAGACTGCTTTTGTTCCAAACCAAAACCAAGGTTTTTTGTTGAATCTTTTTATTTTGAAGTTTTTTACACCACCTCACGACTATTATAAAAACAGCGTTTCGGTACCTCCTGAAGTCAAATATCAATAGCATTTCTGTGCTGGATATGTTTCAACTACATCACTGCTCAGGGGAGCTTAAAGGGTACAGATCACTATCATCGAGGAAGTTAGTTATAATGGAGGCTAATGCCTTGTCACAGCTTGTTAATTACATCACCAAAGTAAGGTACAATAACTAACAACCCCGAAGATAGCATTCATGCCTCATAAATCTTTAAATCACAATCAAAAGAAATTGCAACCTTTTTTGCATCCTATTTTATGTTGCACTTGATGTTGATAGTATAGCTTCTTTGTTGACAACCTCAAGTTTATCCAGAGCAATATTTAAATGATATTAAACTGAATTTAACATTAGATTATATAATGTGGATAAAATTATGATGTACGTGAATGCTTGGACATCTGGAACCAATGAGAGTGAATATTCCACAAAAATCAAATCCAATCTTTCTCCAAACTCACTTCTAGCTCATCTGAATTTTGTAGCTTGTCGCTGTGACCCACTGGATGGATGCTTCTTTTGTTTACGGATCTACTGGAGAGGTTGCCGCTCGTCTGCGTGAGGGACACGGAGGTCTGATGCGTGTAGATGTCCGCGATGGTCGCCCATGGCCCCCAGCAGCCGTCAACAAGAGCGCTGCTTGTGACACCCAGACCGAAGACGAACCCTGCTACCAGTTCGGTCAGTAAATCCGCATTCAACAATAACCATCATAATGTAATATGTTCTTCAAACAAGCCCGTTTCTTCAAGAAAATTCTGAATAACCACAACCTATCTATACCTTTGATAAAGAGCATGGATCAAACATACCCTTATAGGTTTGAAGGATATTTGTGAGGTTAGCAGGCTCGCGTGAATGGTAAATAGTCTTCAGGTCCAACCAAAGGTGGTCACTTGGAGTTGTACTTACTACTTTATGGCCACAATTGGACCTGAGTAACTCCCTCCAACTCAAACCTTCCTTGGTTGGAAATGTTGTCAGTGACAGTGATATTTTATGCAAAATAGTGACAAAATGTTGTGTGCTTATTGTGCCTGAGTGAACATATTCTCTTTCACATTAGCCTGCCATCCTAACAAAATCATTTATATCTTCAAGAAAATATTGTATATGGGTTATATGCCATATTCACCTTTCATGTGGGAAGCACAGAATCTGAAGTTAATCTTTTGCAATCATTTTCAACATGTATTATTCTGTATTACTCTTATATCACCCAGTAGCTGATGATACTAATGACAATTGACCATTTGTATTTACCACTGCAGGTGATGTGAGAGGTAACCAGAATCCCCAGCTGACTGTTCTGCAGATCATCTTCCTGAGGGAACACAACAGAATTGCAACAACCCTGGCTCACCTCAACCCCCACTGGGACGATGAGACCCTCTACCAGGAAGCCAGAAGGATCCTCATTGCTGAGTACCAACACATCAACTACTACGAGTGGCTGCCAATCTTCCTTGGTAAATGATTTGTATATATATTTACATACAAGAAATTTGTTGTTATGATATAATAAGTTTAGGTCTTGAGCACTTATGGGAAACCCAATATACTCTTCTAAAGTGTTTATTGTCCCTCCATTAAATCTTTTCTTTAGGAGACTAAAAAATAGTCTAATGTTCTCTCTTCATATATTTCCTTGGAATAGCTTCCTTACCACTGTATATTTGTCGAGGCTTTCTCAGAACTAGTACTACAACAAGTCCTCTGATATTTGAGTGGAAAAATTTACATAATATTGGGTTCAGTTCCATGTTGATAACATCATGATTATTATGAAACATTTTTATAAATACCGGTACATGCGGAATCAATGATTCATGAAGATTTTATCTTTGTATTCAAATTGTAAATCAGCTAACATTAGATTTACTCTAAACTATGTTCTACAAGTATTCCAAGATATCTAAGACGCTATATTGATATGGACATTATATGGTTTAAAGTCATTTGATTAAATACTGTTTGTAAGGACCAAAATTTCAGTCTATAAATAATCTGATTCATGTCTTATAATCCATTTGTTGTACAGGCAAGAAGAACATGAAGAAGTACGGACTTCTGTACGAGACAGAAAGCTACACTGAAGACTACAGACCCGACGTCGACCCTAGCGCTCTTAACGGCTACGCTACTGCTGCTTTCAGATACTTCCACTCCGCCATCCAGGGACGTCTTGAGTGAGTGTAGTATAAATTACCTTCAGGACACAACGGTTTTTGGATCTGCAACAAAAATAAATACTATCTTAAGAGAAATATGCTAAAAATATACTACGGCTGGGTATCCAAGTGCATAAAGTGCTCAGCTTTTAATCAGATTATAGGTTCAATACAGAAAAATCAGTAGCTTTTTATCGTTTAAAACTGAACCCAGTTGTCCTTGATCAATAGGCTTTTAAAAATGGCCCTGACTAAAAAAAAACAGCTGATCTTAGTCAGCAGCAAAGCTATAATTTCATTCATTCGACCCTCCTTCACTTCTCTTTGCCTTAACATACTCACCCTGGTGTTTTGTTGTCATATGAATGAAGTCTTTTACATTTTGAACACTATTACATGAAAGAATAATTAACCTCAGCATGTGTTGATATGCAGTCTCCTTTTGATCATTTTATCTTCTAGGTTTTTTAATGATTCTTTTCTATTTTAGCTTATTTTTCTCTAGTCTTGACAGATAGTTTTATATCAATAAAACATCAAATTTCATGCAACGCATATTTCAGGCTGATTGGTGAGGAGCGTAACACCTACGGAGTTCTGCGATTGAGTGACTTCTTCAACCGACCAGGAATTATTGAAGAGGGCCAGAACATGGACCACTTTGCTAGAGGTTTGACCACCCAGCCTGAAGAAAACATTGACCCCTTCTTCACCAGTGAGGTAAGTGACCACATGTTACTATTATTACTATAACAAGGCTTAAAAAACCCGTTTGCAAAATGTTGACTGATATTGAACAACCTGGTTCGCTGAACTGTAATGTCAATTAATTGTGCTTGCTAAATGGTTCCTAAAATTTACAACCCATATTTTTTATGGGATATAAAGGTTCTAGGGGTTAGAAAACTGGATTTCAGCCCTAAAGATCTGGATTTTATCATATCAATAATGGTTTTAAGCTTTGGGGTAATGTTGTATTCAGGTAGTTAATATTCAACCGTTCACAATAAAAAAGATAGGTCTCTGGGACAAGTATTTAGCTGTTTCTGAATTGGAGGTCATACTAAAAGTCTCAAACCTTAAATGTATAGTCCATACAGGTAAATTGGTTCTTTGTGAGTAGTTTCTTAAAGAATATAATCTTGAAATTTCTTTCATGTTCTTATTCCATTTATTTTGAAATTGTTGTTGAAAGATCACAATTAATTTATGCTAATACTCTTCATAGCTGTTAAATTACTGAAACTATTGGCATATCACTGTTGGGAAGCATAGTATTTTTATAATTAAATAAGAAACAGTGAAAATTTTGTAAAATGGAACTCATCAACTGTCTCATAGATTTATAATTCCAAGTGTTATTTCAATCGCATTTACATTAAATTATAAAACATTTTTACCCTAAATTCTCACTCATTTTTTATTTTCTCATATACTATCAAGGTTTCTTGATGGAAAGTAGATTAAATCTGTTTGGTGTTGCTCTCACTATTTCAAAATTCAACTTTTAGATCACTGACTACCTGTTCCGTAACGGCAAACCTTTCGGCCGAGATCTGAGAGCCACTGACATCCAGAGAGGCAGAGACCACGGTCTTGGAGGATACAACGACTACAGAGAGTTCTGCGGACTTCCCCGTGCGAAGACATGGAAGGAATTCAGCGACTACATTTCTCCTGAGGTAGGATATTTTCATGGCTCCCAGCTTTTGTTTGTTTGTTTTCCTTTACAGAATGTGTTTCTGTAGTTTCAAGAAGTAGGTATATAAAATAATCATCAATGGTTTGTTTTAGTCAAATCTATTTTGCGCATTTGAAGTATTTGGTGAACCTGTACTGCAAATCTTTAGAATTTCTTGTGTGAAACGATTATGTTTCTCATATTCTTGTACGACTGTTTGGCTTAAGAAATCAGAGTGCTACAAGTAGGTACAACAAAACAAACTCCAAATTATTCCATATTAGCCAGTGAATGCATAGTGACGACAGCAGATAGTATTTTGGTATATCCAATCCCTTAGTTGTTAGCAGTAACACTTTTATATACCCTTTCACATATGTTATATATTTTATACCCTTGATTTCCAGAACATTGAGAAGCTTGCTCTCCTGTACGCCCACCCTGATGACGTTGACCTGACTGTTGGAGGATCCCTGGAAGCTCACGCTGAAGACTCCCTGGCTGGACCTACCTTCCTCTGTCTTCTATTGGAGCAGTTCTACCGCACACGTGTTGCCGACAGATTCTTCTTCGAGAGGGGAGACCCTCACTCTGGAGGATTCACTCCTGGTGTGTAAACTCAATGTCATTGCAGGAAGATATAATAATTGAAATCAGTGTTACAATTGGTAGCATGAAAGACTATGAATCCGAGTCAGCGATGTCGGAGGTTCTTGTCTTGGTGCTGCCGCTAGAGTGTGTACTGTACCACAAGTTGCTTTGCTTTACGTTTCACACGCACAGAGGTCTATGTAGACGGAATTGCAAGGTTAAAAGTAACTGCCGGTCTATTAAAGAAAAGATATATAGGCTCATCATGATAGAATGTATTGATGAAATCACATTTAACCTCAACTGTAGCCAATTTGCCTGCCTCTCTGTTGTGTTATTACATCCCATAATTTGCTTTACTTCATTCTTAGCATTCAAAAAATAAAGGTCTAATTCAATTTTTCATGAGTAAAAATTTAAATAAATAACTTTTTTAATTTCAAACAGTATTAGCATTGATGCTGCATACTGAGGTGGACATCCTATTTGTATTAAATGAATAGCTGTAGGCCTAACCAAGGGTTTTTACCTGAAAATAATTCTTTTTCCTAAATTTGTGTTACTTTAATAGTTGATCGACATAAAAGACACTATAGTTGACAATGAGTTATCCTGTCAATTTTCCTTGGTTAAAAAGTTGGAATGAGATATTAGTAATTTACATCAGCCCTCAGGTGACTCATTACCACTAAGTTCAGATTTTACTGTAATAAACTGGCTACATTTTAACAAGGAGTGATATGTCTAGCTATCTACAGTCAAAGATGCAAACTTCATTTGGTAGTCTTGTCTGTTGCATTATGTACCCGACTGCTGGTTTTCTCACACTTAGTTAGCCTTGACTCTCGTTGACTAAACTAACAGTTTGCTGTTTTCAGAGCAATTGGCTGAGATCAGGAAGTCTTCTTTCTCTCGTCTGATGTGTGACAACAGTGACAATGTCTACCAAATGCAACCTCGTGGTTTCGAAGTGATCTCTCACACGTACGTATGCAAATTTGATTCATTTGGTGTAAAAATGAAAATATGATGTAATATAGGCCTACATGTAGTAGGAAGATGTGAATCCCTTCATTAGTACAGTGGTGCAAAGTGCAGGTGTGAATTTTGAAAACATGGGATTCAATTGTGTTTATCTACAGGGTGAATAAAAAGTCAAGACCCCCCCATCTAATATTTTTCCAAGTAAATATACAGAGATATCCTTTTGGGGGTCGTGCAATCTTAGCAGGAAGTTTCATTTTATGATTTTGAAATTTTTGAGTCTCCCCCCAAAAGGGGGGATTTGGGGGGTAACTCAAATATTTTAAATGTAAACCCCCTTCAAGTGACACCTCATTTTAAAGTGTTTACAAAAACTTAAAGAATGGTGAAAACTAGAGGTCGCCATCTCTTCTCTGACCAAAATGGTAGCCCGTCAAATGGTGTGGAAAATCAATGGTAAAATTGGTTCGTAATTGTAATATTGGCTACCATTTTGGATAGAGAAGAGATAGCGAACTCTGGTTTTCACCATTCTTTAAGTTTTTGTAAACACTTCAAAATGAGGTGTCACTTGATGGGGTTTTACATTAAAAAGGTTTTAGTTGCCCACCCAATCCCCCCTTTTGGTGGGACACTCAAAAATATTTTAAACGTAAACCCCCATTTAGTGACACCTCATTTTGAAGTGTTTACAAAAACTTAAAGAATGGTGAAAACCAGAGTTCGCTATCTCTTCTCTATCCAAAATGGTAGCCAATATTACAATTACGAACCAATTTTACCATTGATTTTCCACAACATTTGACGGGCTACCATTTTGGTCAGAGAAGAGATAGCGACCTCTAGTTTTCACCATTCTTTAAGTTTTTGTAAACACTTTAAAATGAGGTGTCACTTGAAGGGGGTTCACATTTAAAATATTTGAGTTACCCCCCAAATCCCCCGTTTTGGGGGGACACTCAAAAATTTCAAAATCATGAAAAGAAACTTCCTGCTAAGATTGCACGACCCCCAAAAGGATATCTCTGTTACTTGGAAAAATGTTAGATGGGGGGGTCTTGACTTTTTATTCACCCTGTATAAATACAGTACAGTAGAACCTCTATAACAAGGCTCTCACAGGGATTATAAGACTTGTTATTAAGGTTGACTTCTTATCGAGGTTTGCAGTAACATGTGATTAGGGTTCAAATAAATTCAAGGGGATTCAAATATGGCAGTTGTCATTGAGGGTGACTTGACGATCTTGTTATCGTGCTCAAAGTTGTATACCTATTTTTTAACTAATAGCTACAATAGAATAAAATTTAGTATAGGCTAAAAGTTGTGATTTGTGTAAATAAAAGACAATGACAGAGTTATAAAATTACTGCTTAGGATAAGTGTGGCAATTCTTAATTTCCACATTATTAACTAGTCACATGACAAAAAAGCCAACCATAGATTGTTCTGGGGTTCCTTTGATTCCAGGGTTCAGAGTGTTTCTGTAAAACATTGTAAAATTCTTAATCACTTCATTGTCTCCTGAAGTGAGTATACCTTGTAGTGTTACAAGAATCAAAAATATTTTAATTTCTATGATCATAGGATTACTGAATATGAAAAAAACTCAGCCTCCGATTTATTTCTATCAATTGCTCTCATGCTACACACCATGACAAATCGACGGATGAACTTTGCTTAAAATTAAATCAGAGATTCATTATTACCAACCAGTACCACTGAAATAACCACCCTACATTAGATATTTGTTTATATTATAGTGTAATTTTAATGTTAGTATGAGGGTTGTCCGTGAATTAAGGTTCCTACAACCTCCCTTATATTACCAGCCAAGCAAGCTAGTTACAATCTGAGACCATTTCTCCATCTCTTGCACATATTTTCTAAGCCCAAACAATCTACTCTATTTACTTCCACTAACTTGCATTGAACTTCAAGCTTTTGCCGCCTGAGTATCTAATCACAATAGGCAATTTATACTTAGCAGTGGCATGAATTTCTTTTCAGAACTGTTTAAAATACTATGATGAAACTACTCCTATAGGGTTGTGAACCAGATATAACAGTAGTGAATGAAGTAAGGAATACAACTTTGGTCTCGGTTTGGATCTAGTTTGGTTTGGATGCAACAGGAGCTCTGTGGAGACAAGTATTTACAGACAACTGTTAATTTGGTACACAGTTTAATCTCCTGAACATCATACTCTTCAAAACTCCAGAAACTCACATAAGCATAATTGTGGAGTAGTTGGCGTTGCTGTTTCTGTCTTGATACTAATGATGCTTGTGGATTGCAGGAACCAGCTTGTGCCTTGCCAAGACGCTTCGACGATACCCATCGTGGACCTGAGTGCTTGGAAGGACCCCCACGGCCCTGTGCACGGAGGACCTTTCCCCTACGGCAAGAAATAACTTCGGCCTCTCCCAGACCCCCCCTTCCATGGTACAACATAGTATTGCATTAACATCGCTCCATTCATTTACTCACTCTAACTCGTCGCAAACATACAACTAGGCAGATTTAGAAACCCAGTGTTGTACTAGAAAAGGTTTAAATTGTGTTACCGATTTCTAGGATGTAAGGATCGTGAATGTACAATTCGATTTAGTCGGGCTATTTGTACGCTGATAGGTTATAGGTTGAATTTGTGTCGATAGCTTTTATTTTACACCTTAATTTTTTGGGAGTACTTGACTTTCTTGAAGAAGGTTAATTTACTATAAAACTACACAAATGTCAGCGGATTTTAAATCATTTACGTATTTTTAACACGTTTTAAGGTGTTAGGTGCTATATAGTTGTTATGTTGTATGTTTTACCAAATGTTGTATATATTCGCTTCTTTGTATGTTTGTCATTAATCGATTCACTTGCTCATTCGTACTCTTGTTCTGAGAATCTTGCCATTGTATAGCATCTTGACATATTGCTAGAATCACTAAAATTAGTTTCATGATGCAAAACCAATCTAACCTTATCACACTCTTCACTTCAGTTGATAGAACACTATTAACACTAGCACCAACCACATCCCATGTTCGAGCTAGGTTTTCTATTTGTGATTCCCCTGTGCCAACAATAATTAGGATTTATGTGTTGTGAGTTTGATGCAAATAATATGAGTTTAACTTTTAGTGAGTTTTACTTCTTCTCTTCACTGTATTTCATGAATCAACTCTTTAACAGCAAACGCTTTATCTGAAGTCTCAAATAGATTTACAACCACCCGGTGAATCGAAATATTATTATTATACGCTCAATCGTGCTGTTATATTTGTATAAATTACCATCAAACTTAATGTTGGTTTTGCACTTAATCCTTATCATCACATGTCATCACATTATCTTCCTGAAACATCCAGTATTTTTGTACTTTTGTATAAGATTAGAAGATTAAGATTTTTGTAAGCATTTTTTGTACATATGAAATAAATATTTATAGAAAATTTGTGTTTATATTCTTCCCGCTCTGGTCGTATTTACAAGTAATTTTGATTAAAATTAATTTTCCTGCAAGATTGACATAATTAACATTTAGGATCGCAAAAAAAATCATTATCCTTTACACATTAAGTATCCTCTCCACTTTTAAATTTCAATGTAGCTGTTGTGTGTTCCATAAACATGAAAGTTTTTTTTTTATTTAATCCCAAAATTTGACAGCATGAACACATGATCACACTACCTACCGTTCTTAGAGACAAACTGGATGTAGCACTGAATGAGAATTACAGACGTTGGCCGCCATTTGTTCTTGAGGATAAAGTCCATTGTACTTAGTGAATTAGAACTAGGGGATGGTGGGATTTGTACATATGGCCATGAGCCAGTGAGCTGATTCTCCTGGTTGGTACCAAACATAACTAAACTTAACAGCGTCTCAATTTTCTAGCAGACTTGGCCAGTGCTACCCACAGAGGGCCAGTTGTCAAAGATAGTTAGTCTACTTTATATTACTTGATCCCTTCTAGTTCTAAAATATATGACTGATGGATAATCGTTGACTATACTATACACCTTGTGTAAGTAAACATACTACGTTTGAGTAGCTATAGCAAAATAAAATATTCTCTTTTCCCCAGTTTTAGATGACTAATAAATCATTGACCATAAACTTGAGGCAATTTTGGAAAAAATATTTATTCTTGATTTTCTCTATATTTTGACGCAAGGAATCTTAGGAATCACTACCTAAATTATGTCCCCACCTTTTCTGAACACCCTGTATATGAAACATCTGACATATTGGACCGTTGCGTTCTTCATCGGTCTGCGGTGGCAAAAGGGCTAAAGATTAATTTAGTTTACTAATTATAGAATGTGAGAACATTGTATAAGGTAAAGAAGTTAAATTATGTTTAGGTTTAAGATTAATGGACGGGTTAGGAGATACTAATGTACCACTTTATGTATTTTACTGACAATACAGTTCTTATATCTTCTACTTTAAAAGAAAAAATGAAACCAGGAAAAGGTTTTGTTAAGCTTAATCCTTCCTCAATTTTCTAAAGTCACTTAAGAATTAACTGTCAAAAAGGTTAATGGACACTCTGAACTACGCTGGTCAACAAAGACACAGATTAAATTTTATGATTGCTTTATTTTGCTTTCAATTTCATAAATGATGTATTACATTTCTTATTGATATCATTATAAACAATGTTAAGAGATGTTTCTTGCTCTGCACGCCAACCTGTAGAGGTCTCTGTTGGCTTCTCTGGCACCATTCCAACCTGGCTTTGTTTTACTAGATTTCACAACTACCAATGTCATATCCTCTTCCTGTACTGACAATTCCTGTACTGACAAAGGAAGTTGACGAATGGCTCTGGCTGGTAACAAAACTACCAGCCGAGGCCTTAACCAGCAAAATTTCACTAGAGCCGAAGGCAGAGAAGTGGAGATTGTACACCAAAATCATTTTTTCGGGTTCTGAATAATTTAACTTTTACTTTAGTAGACAATTCAATCAGTTATGTTTGGTAGCCTCTGTAGGTAATAAAGAAAGTATTTACGTCGGCCAAATTGGGATGGTGCCAGAGAGGCCAATAGAGACCTCTACAAGCAAGCCTGCAGAGCAAGAAACATAACTGTTTATATTGTCTTAAATTGTTTTAAACCATTTTCATTATAAATTATGAGCGAGTCTTAAACATGTTTTTATTTTGTAGTTAGATGTACTTTAATTGGCACAATGGTGAAAATGTTCGACAAAATCCACTTCTTGGCTCTAGTAAAGCTAGCTGAGGCTTTGGATGGTAGTGAAGCTGGGTTTCTGTAGTAGCTAATGTTTTCCGTGTGTATCAAACGAAAGCAGGTTTTAGCTTGGAGGATAAATTTCTGGATCGGATTAGACTGAAAGCAGAGTTCACTCGTGTGATGAGTGCGTTGAGTGATTTATGGCTGATGAGTCGCTCTAGAAGAGGTCGCTTGTAGAGACGATGAGCTTCTTGCCTCTCATCTTCTCTGACAGGCTCATCATCCAGGTGACTCAAACAGGAGAACCAGGATATGACAAACAGTCTGAAAACAATAGCACATGTCAATAAATAGCAAATACATTTGATACTATTGATACTGAAGAATTTTCAACACTGTGTCAATTTGAAGCAACCTATTTGCTTGTGTAAACACATTTACACCAGTAACACATAACAAATCTGAGAGTTAAAACATTATTTCCAGTGTATTAAAATGCAGAGATATTGCACAATAGACAGTTCAAGGTCAGGCAATCAGACTAATTCTGTTAGTCCAAAATAATCTATTAGGAGGTTAGTTATTTAATAACCTGCTCTAATGAAGGTTATGAAATTTCTTATCAGTACACATGTTTTGGAACAGGACAAACCTTGTTTACAAAAATGACTAACACCCATAAGTCAGAATGGAAATGTTTCAAGTGCAAGGGCAAAACTCATAAGAAATTGAAAATAAAATCAAAACGTTTATGGAGGATGTTTCTGAAAAGTTGAGTGTTCTGGCTTAATTCAAAGAAGATTTTCAAGCACTAAAGAAGGACAATGAAGAAATCAAGTCTAGTCAAAGTTTCATAAGCGATAAGGATGAAGTATTGCTATCTAAATTACTATGTCTACCAGAGTTGGAAAAAGACATCAAAACACTTAAAGAAACAGATACAGAAGAAGAAAAAGATCAAGTGATTTTAGAACTGAGCTCACAGCTTCATCACTTGTAAGTAAATGAAGTGGAGAAAAGGGAGAAAGAAGATACTAAACAAAATGTTGTCAATGTCGCAAAGGAGATGGGGGTTGCCTTGGAGAAGGAGGTCATAAGAGCTATGCACAGACTACCCAAGACCCTCATGGACAACAGGCCCGCAACCATCATCGTCCAGCTGGCACGGCGGAAAAAGAGGGCCCTGATGCTAGCGGAGAGGAAGAAAATAGTAACCAACTTTAGGATGACAGGACTCAGCAACCATCGTATTTATGTGAGTGAATCTTATCTCCCTATTTTAGAAACCTACTCCAAAGTTTTAGAAGATAGGTCAAGATCTAGGTTATAAATATACAGTATTTGGTTAAAGTATAGTGTAAAGGTAAGAAAAACGTATCCAAACAAATAATATGTCTGACCTGGTTAAAATAATATAGGCCTAGACCTAGTTTTATTGCATTTTTAAGTCACTATACATCGCAGAGCTTACCATGGAAAAACACGATTTTTACTGTAAATTTTGAAGAAAACATTCCTAAAATACGTACAACTTCAAGTGACTTCAAGGAATCACGTAAAGTTAATAAATTTGCAGAGATTTTTTGACTGTTTATTTTAATATTAGGTCATTAAGGAGAAATTGAGATCAATTCTGTACCTATTTTCAGTATTCCATAAATGTTTTTAATTAAATTATTTTAACAGAAACCAACATTATGAAAGAGTTTCTCGAGCTCTTAAACCGATTCTGTTTGAATAATTTTAATCAAATTTTTAATCTAAGAAATTAAACAAAAGGTGAAGGGATTTTATTTCTTGTCAAGAGTGTTAAGTAAGTTTTCAGAAAAATGTTTTTATTTCTATTACCGTATCATAATTATGCATTTGTATTTGCAGCCGACAGAGAGAGAGAGAAGGGGTTTTCAATTCAACCAAGTGGGGTCAACACAATTCCCATTGGTGAACTTGGCGGAAGGATATTTTTGTGAAGTTTTAGCGTCGCGACGCGACGCTTGTTCATTCTATCGGTTAAACATGTCACTTTGACATAATTTATTCTTTCTCGCCATTGCGGCTTTCCTCCTTATTTTAATTCTCTATTATTGCCACTCAGATTAGCCCGCGGCCCCCTTATACCGTACTTATAACATTTTCACCTCATTCAGTTAAATTTATTTCTAATAAACCTGAGTAAAAGTCAGTTTTACAGTGAATCCTTCCTTTCCGGTCTACCGCGGTCGCGTAGGAACAACATTTTGTGAGGGCTCATTTGGACCTTATGGACGTTAGGTGTGCGTTTCGGACATCAAGACCAAGGCACCAACATAAGAATATAGTGTCAAGTGTTGTGTCTTGAGGACTTTCTACCTACCAATCCAACTCTACCCCGCGGCGCTTCCTTGCCGCTCACAACGGACTTGGCTCACTCTCTGCCAAAGGGACCTTTACAATGGTTAGTGTCACCAATCTTATAGTGTGTGACTAATTTAGCTCTCAAAAATAGCATTAAGTACCTTTCAAGTAAAACACTTTACCATTTCAATTCTCACTAGCTACGGCCGACCATAAGGCCTGGTCCTTCGAGTCATAACTCAAATAGTATATACATCACTCTAATTAACCCCATACTAATCAAAGAGTATTTTTCAGGCAATGGAGATAAATTTCAATAGCAGTAATTTTGAAAGCATTGTGATAAATGTGTAAGATAATGTTTTTTATGTGATCATAATCAGGGACGTATTTAAGTATCTGCCGCCTCTAGGCAACAAAGTTTGCCGCTGCCCCTCCCGCTCCCACTTTTCAACGCACTCCGCGACCTCACTAATATCACCCCAATGGCCAATACATGCCCTGTCAGCTGGTTTTGTGGAAAAATAATCGGTAATATTGCATGCTGCATCAACAAATTTAATAACTTTTCACCACACTATGATGTTTTTAGCTACTTTACATGCGCTAATTGGTGGCTGAAAGTTACGTTTTGCTGGCCATGCCAGCTGTCATCGTCATTTGGGGACCGAGCAGGTTCTTACATCCCTAGGGCCGCAAAATCAGCTGATCGCTTACTTTTTTAAGCATGAATGCATATTAAATACACAGTCAGTATCCATAGCATTGCAATAGAATTGTTTTATTGTCACCGCTGCCTAGCAACTATTTATTTTAATTTTTGCTGATTCCTCAAATTATTTCTTCACATAACCTTAAAGTTCTAGTTGTGTTGACTATCAGTGTGCATCATTATTGTGGTGAATAGTGCTACATATTAAGGTATAGTGTGGTGGAAAATGGCGTTCGTACCACGGACCGAAATGGTTTTGCAGCTCTCGATCGTTTTAGGTTGACTTCGTCTCGAACCTAAAAACTACGGTATCTCGAGCCGGCGAAACCTCATTTTCGGCCCTAGGTACGAAATATACTATTTCGACCCCTTTTAACGGACGTTTTTTGTGCCGTTTTTTTGCAAAACATTCTGACTTGGATAGGCCTACACGGAATGCACCATTTTTTATCTAATCAGTATTTTTACAATCCCATTTTGCGGCTTTAAATGGCACACAAAATCGTCTGTATACAATGGTTCTTATAACGCTTTTCATTGAACACTATTAGTCAGATCCACTTGAGAGACGTCCTATTGGCTTTGATTTGAAATGAAAGAAATATGTTTTCTTAAACAATTTTTTTTTTACAAAAAACACATGAATCGCAAAGAAAAATTACGTACTTTTACTGAAAGAATAATATACAATTTTAAATTAGTTAAGTTTGGTACAGTGGTAAGTATTTAGTTCACACTTTCCTTCTTGATTTTAACCTAGCAAAAGAATCTTTCAGCTATAGTGCTGCCACTGCGTAGTGGTGTATGAAGTAAACAGAAGGGAGTGTTTTCTACGTTTGTCACTAGACATAGCGGCCGGCACGGCCACCCGCTCCCGCGGCGAGCGTGTCCGCCAGACCAATAGGGCAGCACGGACAACTCTACACAGCTGTGTAATAAACTATTGACGTTTGTTTGACTTGGATGCGTTCTGAAATAGTTGTATACTTATTCAAAATATTTGAAATGGCTATTTTGCCGTTTCATTTTGCCGCCCAAAATTGTTTGCTAACATTTTTTTTATATTAAAACTTTGTTTTTTTATTTTTTTACCCTAAAAATTTTGCCGCCCCTAAAATTTGCCGCCCTAGGCGGGCGCCTAGTCCGCTTATTCGGAAATATGTCCCTGATCATAATAGTTGTATATAGACCACCATCCAGCAATGAATTAAAATTTGTGTAAGAATTAGAAAAAATAGTTTAGAAAACCAAAGGAGAAGTGATTATGGGTGACAGAAATATAGATTCAAAAAATAAAAAAAATAGTTATGTACAAGAATATAATAATAGCATAACTTGAAATGGTGTCAAATTGCTCATTAATTATTACACTAGCGAAGAAGTTAGAGTCGGTAAATTAAGTCAAACATGCATACACCATGCATATCTCAGCACATGTATAGAACAAGTAAGCTCAAAGTTCTTTCAGATATCTTATAGATAAAGATAGACCACTATCCTTGTATTATCAATGTCCAGCCTGACAACACACAGCCACACAGCCTGCCCAGCTTATCACACAGACAAACTACAGCAAATTATTATTTAACTACTGCTGGGACAGGTATTGGGGCAGATTGACTGGCAGTCTATGGAATGTTTAAATAATCCTTGGGAAATTGTTATTAAACTGTACACAAACATGACAAAGGCATACAGGGAGAGTAGTAATGCAGAGATGGAAATCAATAAATATACACAGCCTAAAAAATGCTGGATTACCCAGACAATTTTAAATATGATAATGGAGAAAGATAAAGCTTTTAAATTATTAAAGTCCCGTCCAAATAAAATCCATTACAAAGAAAGATACAGTTTAACCTTGATATAACGCACCTCGATACACTGGATTACTTGATATAACCCCTTTTATCCCCTAGAACTCTCCATAAGACACAATGTATTTTACCTCTACATAGCGAACAAATCATATCAAAAAATGAATTGTTGACGATCCCGGCTAAAATAAAACACCTCAATATAGTGAATTTATCATTGGCAGGATCTCTACTTAACGAATTTAACCTCTACTTGACGAATTGTCTGCATCTTTCCTTCGAGGTAACAAACCTCCCATATTATTGTTTTTGAAAAATCACAGTGCCTTTGATGAAAATTAAATGGAGAGGTGACGTCAATGCTTACACTGACAATCGTCTGCGCTGTTTAACACATCATTCCGTCTGCCGTGCGATATGCCACAACTGATTTCATTACCTAGGTACTGATGACTACAGGT